CCAAAGTAACTCTGGACCTTGTACGGGAGTGGGGGCTTAGGAATCTACTAGAGTTTTCCTCCTCAAAGTCGACCACCATGACTGTTAGAGGGAAACTTCAGCGCCCCCCCCCCCCCCCGTTATTAAACTTGGTGGGGAATCTATTAAGGCTGTGACTAACGTTAAGGTATTAGGCGTGGTTTTAGACTCGGGACTATCGTTTGTGCAACATGCATCCGATATCTCTGAAAGAGCGACCAAGGGATTCGGCAAGATGTCTCGCGTATCTATATCATCATGGGGTGTACGATATCCGAGTTTAAAATTAATTTATAGAGGAGTGTTTGTGTCCACGCTTACGTATGCGGCAGAGTGCTGGTACGAGCGTGCAAACATGTACACAGTTCGTAGCGTACTACTGAGATCGCAGCGATCCGCTCTTATATTGTTAACCAAGGCGTACCGATCCACTAGCACGATGGCCTTACCGGTGCTGGCTGGCGTTCTCCCTGCTGACCTAGAGGTCATCCGTGCTTTTAGGATGGGTATAGCACGTTTGACCACGCCCAAAGAGGAGTTGAGCAGACGGAATCGCGAGATCTGGACTGAGGTGATCGGCGCCTGGCAGGATAGATGGACGTGTGATACAAAAGGACGTGAGCTACATCGATTTTTCCCGGACGTGGCGTTGAGACTCGGGTATACCTGGGTCTCACCGGACTACCAAACCTCTCAGATTCTCACCGGACATGGATGCTTTCGAAAGAGATTGAGCGACATGAAACTGTGTGAAATTAGTATGTGTGAGTGCGGTATGTCAGATGAGGATGTTGACCGTGTTCTATGGGAATGTCCTCTGTATAATGACCTAAGAGTGAAAATGATGGATGGACTAGTTCGTCCGGTTCAGGGACCAGTTTACTACTCGGATCTCGTCAGCGATGTGGTAAACTACGGAATGTTGCGCGATTTTGCGCATAGGTGGCACGATCGCAGGACAAGGCAGGATGGAAGGCTGGTAGGAGGGCCCGACGGCATAGGCGTCATTGTGTCGTCAGCCCCAGAAGGGGGAGAATGACTTTAAACTGGGACAAGGAATAGATTCAATATTTGTAGGGAGTCAAGAAAGTGTGCGCGGGAAAGAGCCACGTGCAAGTACCGCGCGCATCTCCCGCGATTCGGCCCGTATGACCTGAGGGTCGGTGGGGCCATGGGAGGTGGTGGGTTGTTCTCATCTCTGGGCAGGGGCTCACCAGTGCCAGCTCCTTCCACTTGACCGCATCCAGCGCACAGCGGCTCGAATCGTCGACGACCGAGCCCTTTCCGATCGGCTCGATTCATTGGCACTGCGAAGAGATGTTGCATCCCTTTGCATTTTCTTTCGCATCTACCATGGGGAGTGCTCTGAGGAATTGTTCGGATTAATCCCAGCCGCCAAATATCACGAACCCACATCGCGGCAGAACTCCCGATACCATCCACACCATCTGGGTGATTGGCGGTCCACCACTGTGCGATTTAGAAGATGTTTTCTTCTTCGCACGACTTCCTTGTGGAATCGATTACCATCAGCGATTTTTCCGGACCGATACGACTTAGGGACCTTCAAGAAAAGAGCGTACTCCTTTTTAAAAGGCCGGCAACGCATCTGCAATTCCCTCCCTGGTGTTGTAGTTGTTCATGGGCGGCGGTAGTCACTTACCATCAAGTGAGCCACATACTCGTTTGCCCCCTCTCCTATAAAAAAAAAACTAAAGTCACATTATTCTACTGTCTATACTCTCTGTCAAGAGATATTTCGCTAAAGACAACTATATTATGTAATAGAGAAAATTTTACCGACTTGATATATGAATATTTATAGAGAAAAGAAATTATAAGGAATAAAAGAGATCCTTTTGAGGAATTAATAAAAAAATTATGTTTACAATAAAGAAATGATTATAATATACTATTTTATTTCTGAATTGTTTAAAACTGCCCAGAAATAATTGCAGTTGTAATAGGTTAGAAGGTTGTGGTGGGAGTGAAGGCAACCTGACTTTATAGATAAGATATCTGATCTGATCGAATCTGTACTAAAATTAAACCAACACGCCCCGACTCCACGTAGTCTTGTCTGCCCTACTCCTAGAGTGTTTTTGTAAAGCCGTAGGCGCGGAGGGAGAGCAGCCCCCGCCCGCTGAAGCAAATCGCAGGCACTACGCAAGGGCGAAGGGGCTGCACTTCCTGCAGCGCCGAAGCCGTTGTAAAAGTAACTTTGGGTCAATATTCCAGTGTAAAAAAGTGAGGTTGTGAGGTAAAACATGATTTTACAAAAAAAACACATTACTCATAAACTATACTTTTCCACAACGAGCGAAGAGTAGAGGAGCTTTCCCTGATAGGGCACACTCCTGTTATCCACTTCCCTCCTGCCGGAGACGATAAATGTTATTTTCAGATTAGGTCTATGGGATTTTCTTTTTGATTTTTCTCAAAAACGATGTATTACCTTTTAATGGGAGTGATGTTGGGAAGCTCTTTAATGTCGTCCTCCATGGTGGCATTACACCGGAGGCGTGGAGCAGAAGTGCGGTGGTCTTGTTCTTCAAGAAAGGTGACAACGCTCTCTTGAAGAACTACAGACCGATTTCCCTTCTGAGCCGCGTCTACGTGCTGTTTTCGAATTCGAATCGTCTCGCGCGCAGACTTGACCCCTTCCAGCCTCCCGAACAAGCCGGTTTCCGAAAAGGCTTTAGCATCATAGACCACATACATACCCTTCGGCAAATTGTACAGAGGTCCGAAGAGTACAATTTGCCACTATGTCTGGCGTATGTGGACTATGAGAAAGCCTTTGATTCCGTCGAAATTTGGGCGGTGCTGCAGTCCCTTCAGCGGTGCCAAGTTGACTGTCGGTATATCGAAGTGCTGAAGTGTTTGTACAGTAGACCTACGATGGCTATCCGAGTACAGAACCAGAGTACGAAACCTATCCAATTGCAGAGAGGTGTAAGACAGGGTGATGTTATATCCCCGAAACTCTTCACCGCTGCATTGGAAGACGTTTTCTAACTTCTGGACTGGAAAGGATACGGTATTAACATCAATGGCGAGTACATCACTCACCTTCGATTTGCCGACGATATAGTCCTTATGGCAGAATCGCTGGAGGACCTAAGCACTATGCTCAATGACCTCAATAGTGTCTCCCAACGGATAGGTCTTAAGATGAACATCGACAAAACAAAGATTATGTTTAATGTCCATGTCACACCTATGCTGGTAGTTGTTGGGAGCACTAAGCTCGAAGTTGTTGACGAGTATGTTTACCTGGGACAAATAGTCCGACTAGGTAAGTCCAACTTCGACCGAGAGGTCAATCGACGGATTCAACTCGGCTGGGCAGCGTCCGGGAAGCTACGACACATCTTCTCGTCAGACATACCTCAAAACCTTAAAACGAAATTGTACAACCAGTGCGTGTTGCCAGTGATGACTTACGGAACTGAGACGTGGTCCTTCACTGCTGGCCGTATGAGGAAGCTCAAGGTCGCTCAGCGAGCTATGGAGAGGGCTATGCTCGGAGTTTCTCTGCGTGATAAACTTAGAAATGAGTATATCTGCAGTAGAACCAGAGTAACCGACATAGCCCAACGGATTAGTAAGCTGAAGTGGCAGTGGGCCGGTCATATAGCTCGAAGAACCGACAACCGATGGGGAAGAAAGGTTCTTGAGTGGCAGCCTCGTACCGGTAGGCGAAGTGTAGGGCGACCCCCCACGAGATGGAGTGACGACCTGGTAAGACATGCAGGAAGTCGATGGATGCAGGTGGCTCAGGACCGTGCTTTGTGGCATTCCTTGGGGGAGGCCTATGTTCAGCAGTGGACTTATGAAAGGCTGTAATGATGATGATGATGATGATGATGATGTTGGGAGTAAGGGGACGCTCCCCCCTCCCCCTTCCCTCAACCCCTGCTCCCTCCTCCTGCCAAACGATTCTAAATTTCAAGCCAAAATTCTTCTAAGACACAGTGGCATATTTCAGATCTGATAAGAGATGAAGCTGTCAGCACAGCTTCGTCCTCTCCGGAAGCCATATTGAACATGTGGAATGATGTTGTTTGCCTCTACATAATACTCAAGATGCATCTTTATCATGTTTTCATTAAGCTTTCCAACACAAGATGACAATGATATGGGACGATATTAGTTAGGATCTTCAGGTGGCTTGTCAAGTTTAAGTAGAGGAATTACACACTGTGTTTTCCAAGATTCAGGATTTTTTTTAAGTGCCAAAGAGCATTAAGATTAGCTAATAGTTTCTTTTGAACGGCATGATTAAGGTTTTTAATCAAAATGTATGGACAATCATCTAAACCAGGGTTGTGTTTCGTCTGGATTGTAAACTTGTACAAAACTCACTCCACATTCATCGTTCGGTTAGTAAAGAGAGTGGTTGTATACAACTTTTGCCTTGTGCTATTATACATAATCTTTCTAGTAAAACTGGCATAATTGTTAGTGTAACTCAGCTGTTTTTTGCGTGCGATCAAGTGCATCAAAGTTTTTAATACTCCTCAAACCAGTGTTTCTCACCTTCTCTCGCGTCGCTGCTCCTGGTTGTATCTGCGGGGTACCTCACCCCCGTGAGATAATAACAGTTGCTATTTTTCGTCCTTGTCTTCTGTAGTCTGTGATACTAATATTGATCGTGTGTGCGATTGTTATACACAATGGCACTCCAGCGCACACCACCTAACATATTCTCATCGAATCCTGATATATCTGTGTCGGTAGACAAAGAATCTTTGGTAAATATACGCAAACGTAAGCAACCGGAATGCGAAATTGGAGAGGATACGTTCGCGTGTTTCGAGCGTAGGTTCGAGCAACAGATGAAATTATGGAATGATAAAATTTTCAACAGTATTTCTGAAGCTATTAACTCGGCATTAACCAATCAGCTGTCAAATATTACCTCAAACTTATTTCAAATAAATAGTTGTTTACAACAATTGACAGACGATAACGACATAATGAAGAAATCGCTATCTGAAACAAATACACGTCTCACAGAAATGGAGAAGTCTTTTAGCTGTTCCTCTCAAAGGCAGGACCTATTTGATAGCCGGTTACAAGCACTAGAAGTTTGTAGTTCTCAAGACACTGAATTAATCACTCAGATACAAAATCTCGAAAATAAAATTCAGTATATGGAACAACAGGCCAGACGGAATAATCTTGAGATATCTGGTATCCCTGAAAAGTCAAACGAAGACCTGTCCCTATATTTGAGAAATATCACTAATTTTCTGGGAGTTGAGCTGTCTTCAACTGACATTGTCCAAATTACTAGGATACGCCCATTTAATGCGGTTTCTGGACGTCCTAAAGCTATTGTCGTAAAGCTGAGTTATCAATTATTACGTGATACCATTCTGTCTGCTGTTCGTACCAAGAAAGAACTTAAGTTGTGCGATATAGGTTTTCGTGGTGAAATGAAGAAGATTTACTTAAATGAACATCTTACACCAGCCAACAAGATATTATATAAAAGTACAAGGGAAAAAGCAAAAGTTGCTCAATACAAATTTGTATGGATACGTGATGGCAAGATTTTTGTTAGGAAGAACGATATTAGTCGATCCTTATGTATAAAAAACTCTGTAGATCTTCAAAAAGTAATTTGACTATTTTATAGTTTATTCCTTATTAAACTTGCTCATTTACTGTGTTTTCGTAGTTATTATATAATTTTTCAATGCTTGTTATTATTTGTAATGTTATTTACTACATCCTACGGTAAGGAATATTTTTATTTTTATTATTGTTATTTTTATTATATTATTTTTATTATTATCTTATTCCACTTATTTGTAGCTAAATTCGCATATTATAATTTTTTATTGCTTTTATATATATATTCTATAATATTATTCTATACTACCTATTGCTCACTAACTTTAGAACATTATTCTGTAAATCTATGCTATTTAGAACCAGTATGAGTTTTGGCGGGAAATTGACCGGCGGCGGTTTGCTGCTCCTGTATTATAGTTTAAATAATAGTTTGAAGTGGATTTTGATATGTAAAAGTGGTGCGATTTTATGTATTAACTGTCTACGCATGTGAACTATTAGTGGAAACGGTGAAACAAGTGCTCTGATGGTGATGGATTCTCAAGATAAGCTGTTTGTCTGCATAGGCGCCTTTAGATACCATCGCCAACTGTCAGCTGTCTGCTGGCTCAAGTTGCCGTCAAAATCTCCCAAGGGCTGCACAATGTGACGCATCAACATATTGTGAAGCAGTGAACTATGAAAGATAATTATACATTTGGGAAATTACAATAAACCGAATAAAAATACTCAAGACTTGGCCTAAAGGTCTAGATACCAGGCCATAAACTCCAAAAAAAAAAAATAGAACCAGTATTAATCTTGGAACATACTCCTATAATTGACATTGAGATAATAAATGTTTACACTTTTTTTTACTTAACCTTTAATTATTTATTATACGTCCTTAATATTTGTAACACCAGATTAAGATTTCAATTTTTAAGACATTTAAAATACCAATTAATTACCGCTGTTAATTATTATTTTAAATCGGGGGCCCGAGTATATGGGAAGTTAATGAAAAAATTTTATAAGTTCATATTTATTCCATAATAATGAGTATTACTAAGTTGAATATTTTTTATCAAAATGTTCGTGGCCTCCGCACGAAATGCTTAGATTTGTATAATAACATTTTATCGTGTGATTATAATTTAATATTGTTGTCTGAAACTTGGCTGCAAAGTGATATTTTTGATAGCGAAGTTTGTGATGGTAGGTTCGATATTTTTCGCTGCGACCGTGACTTAGCAACAACGGAAAAAAGGACGGGTGGCGGGGTAATGATCTGCACTCGGAGTGAACTATGCACTACGCGTCGTAATGATTGGGATTGTAAAGGATTTGAATCATTATGTGTGAGTTTATCGGCACATTTTCTCAATTCGAATTGTAACTTGATATTATTTTAGTTTATATTCCACCAAATGAGGACATATTACCTGATTGTATTTATGAATTCCGAAACAACTTTGAACGTTTTTACCTGTTGGCACCCTCTGACCGTTATCTTATAGTAGGCGATTTTAACCTACCTTGTTTAAAATGGAGTTCCTCAGGATGGTCGACAATACATTCTGGTCGAGCTGATATCCAAAAAGCTGCTAGTGTTTTGGCCGAGGATTTATGTTTTTTTGGCATGAATCAATATAATTTATTTCCCAACCGTTGTAACAATATACTGGATCTATTTTTCTCAAACTTATACACTTAGAAATCAATCATTCTGACCCGTTGACTAAAGTCAATACCTTACACCTACCTTTTACAATTGATATACAAGATATTTTTGTAAAACCATTTAAAGAATATTTTCACTCAAAATATAGACACCGGCACAATTAGCGGAACACAAAAAAAAGCAGGATTTTAAAATCTTTTACTTGAGGAACTGGCCAGTTATGATATTTTTTTTAATTTATTGTCAAATTTGAAAATAGAAAATTAGATGACATACACTTTTTTCATTCATTTGTTTTATTTTCCTGAACAATAAATACGTTTTGTCAACTTGTTCGAGTAATAACTACGTAATTGTAATTTTTTTGGAAAATTGCACTTAATGGTTTTTCATAAATTTGTTATTCTATAGGCAATTTTGTTTATTAAAAGCTCTTTATTATGCCTGACTTAACATCACTGGAAATCATTAGGGCTGATGAAATGAGAAGAAATGGCCATACCTACAGATCGATTGCCTCAGGGCTTAGTCGACCAGTATCAACGATTCATCGCAGCATCCAGCGGTACAGATCGTCTAATTCTCTTGTGAGGAGGAGGGGTCAAGGTAGAAAAAGATGTACATGGAGGCGAGATGACAGTTTTTTACAACTTGGAGTTCGTAGGAATACGCGATTAACGGCTGTACAAGCTCGAAATGAACTGGAAGACGTTCGAGGAGTACGAGTAAGTGAGCGTACAGTTCGCAGGAGATTTGAAGAAGTTGGTTTAGGGTCGTATATACCTGCCAAAGGCCCAAAACTTGAGAGACGTCACCGCGTAAACCGATTAAGCTATGCGCGAGAACATCGTCATTGGGATTTGAACGAATGGCAGCAGGTTCTCTTTACTGATGAGTGCAGAGTTCTTTTAAAACAGATCGATGGGAGACAGCGAATATGAAGACGCAAAGGAGAACGCCACATACAGTCTAATTTTGAACACACAGTGGCTTAAGGTGGCGGCTCGATTATGGTTTGGGGAGGGATATGTTTGGGAGCTCGCACGGAGTTAGTGATAGTCACAGGAGGGACCAAGACAGCAGATCGATACATCAGAGACATTTTAGAAGAACATGTTGTGCCATTTGCCCCATTTATTGGTGACGACTTTATTCTAATGCAAGATAATGCTCGTGCTCATAGTGCACAGTCGGTACAGGCATATCTGAGCCATGTAGGTATACCGGTGATGCAGTGGCCAGCAAATTCCCCCGATATGAATCCGATAGAGCATGTCTGGGACTTGCTAAAAAGAAGGGTTAAATCCAGAATGCCACCCCCCAACAATCTGAGTGAACTTGGAAACGCATTACTTGAGGAGTGGGAGCGGTTGTCTCAAGAAATCATCGATAACATAATCTGTAGCATGCCCAGACGAATGGAAACCGTAATCAGAGCAAGAGGGGGAAACACTCGTTATTAATTTTGCTTTAATTTTATTGTTAAATCATTTAATTCTTACTTTTTTTATTTTTTGTGATGGTTCATAATCATCTAAAAATTTCACTTATTTCAAATTTCTTTATTTTTCAATAAAAAATAACGAAGACTTTTCAAAGTCGTTGTTAAAAGATGTTAATCAATTTGTTATTTCGTTTTTAATTACATTTTCGTCAAATATATGCGTTATTATCTGATAGTCTCACTTTTTTTTCTGTTCCGCTAATGGTGCCGGTGTGTATATAATTTCCGAAAATGTAATTATGTTAACATAAATACCTTTTTAAAAAGCGTAGACTGGGATCAATTATTATTAAACACAGATACAGTCGACCAAGCCGTTGAGATTTTTTATGAAAAACTCCACGAATGTTTTGCTTTATTTGTACCACTATCCTCCCAAATTAGTAATCGTTACCCGTGTTGGTACAGCCGCGCACTTATTAAAATAATTTGAGAAAAATTTAAAGCACCCAAAAAATGGAAAAAATTTAACAACCCTCGTGATTATGATGAGTTTAAGCTTCTCAGAGATAGACTACATAGAACACAAAAAAATGTTTTAATGATTTTATTCGCAATACTGAGAAAAATTTAAAGAATTCGCCAAAGTATTTCTGGAAATTTGTTAAGTCTAAAAAGGGAATATCTAATTATCCACGTAATTTTACCCTAAATAATGTTATTTACACGGAGGGACAGGATATTTGCTCTGCCTTTAATGCCTTTTTTCAAAGTGTATTTACTCTTTCTTCTTTGACGGATTCTGGTTCACACTGTTGTAATACTGTCTTCTCGTCATGGAGTGATGATATTTCTCGAATTGACGTCTCTCAGGATTTTATACTTACATGTCTGAAAGGCTTGGACACCTATAAGGGAGCGGGTTACGACGGAGTGCCTCCAGTTTTTCTGTCATCATGTGCCGATAGCCTTAGTTACCCAATTACGTTGCTCTTTAAGCTTTCCCTTAGAGAATGTGTATTTCCCACACTTTGGAAAAAGGCATATATAATACCGGTTCATAAAAAAGGTTCTAAAACAAAAATTGATAATTACCGTCCAATTTCTATTCTCAGTACAATTGCTAAAATATTTGAAAGACTTGTTTTTAATAAAATTTATACTAAAATAGTTAGACGCATTCCGAGTACGCAACATGGCTTTCTGAAAAACCGTTCTACTATTTCCAATCTTGCATGTTTCACTAACTATGTTCTTAATGAAATGGAAGGTGGAGGTCAAGTTGACGTGATCTACACAGATTTCGAAAAAGCCTTCGACCGTGTGGATCACGTCATACTCCTTCAGAAGCTGCAGTCTCTCGGCATTCATGGGGAGTTACTGAGATGGATTAGATCTTATTTGACTAACAGTTCTCAGGCTGTGGTTCTAGGCGGTTATAGGTCAAATTTCGTAACGGTTCCCTCTGGCGTTCCTCAAGGCTCCCACCTTGGTCCTCTCTTTTACAACGCCTATATTTACGATATATGTCAATATATAAAAAATTCTCAACATTTACTTTATGCTGATGATAAAAAAAATATATCTGCGTATACGCACTATCAAGGACTGTGAACTTATTCAAAATGACTTAAATACATTATACTATTACTATGCCGCTAATAAGATCACGGTAAATGTTGGTAAGTGTCAGAGTATTTCTTTTACGCGGAAAACTAATCCCATAGTTTTTCAATACAATTTCAATGGTCTTGTAATCGAGAGGGCTACGGTAGTGCGCGATCTAGGCGTATATTTTGACTCCCGCATGACAATGAACGAGCATATTGATGCTATTTGCAGTAAAGCTTTTCGTAATTTGGGATTTGTAACTAGAACTTGTCTTCCTTTCTCTAATTTGCAGAGCCTAAAAGTAGTATATTTCAGATATGGTCACCATTTTATGCTAAACATGTTCATACTATCGAAAAGATTCAAAATAAGTTCATTTCCCATTTAAATTATAAATTTAGACGTTCTGGCTCTTCATATCAAGATGATTGCAGATTTTACGGCCTGTTAATGCTTGAAGAAAGACGTACTCTGCTGGATGTGGGACTTTTATTCAATATATTACACGGAGGAATTGACTGCCCTGATTTATTGGCCTACATCAAATTTAACGTCCCAATGAAACGTACCAGACATACCAGAAACTCTTTGTTTTACATCCCCTTTCACTCGACCAATTATGGGAAAAACGGTGTTCTAACGCGTTTGGTAGCAACTTACGACAGAAAATTTAGCTCAATTGATGATTTTAATAGTACTAAAAGTGGATTCAAAAATAAAATTAACAAGTTTCTATTCACTCCAGCTGAAAGTAATCAGTAAATTGTAATTAAAATAGTACCTAAATTATTATTAGTTCCCTCGTTTAATACTGTTATTCTTTTATCATTAAAATGATTGTATACATGTATGTTGTATGTGTATGTATATATATATATGTATGTGTATGTGTATGTATATGTATATATATATTCATATGTGTGTTAGTAAGTTTAATTATGTACATCTTTTGTACGTGTATATATGTGTATGAGTATATGTATGTACATCATGAAAGTAATATCAATATTTCAATTAATTTGTTAATGCTTAGAATTAGTGCTTACCGAATTTGTTTTGTAGATTTACAGTGTTATATTTGGTTATGTACTTTGTGGATAACTATACTATATATATATATATATATATATATATATATGATATGGCTTTTTCGTGTTTAATAATTTAAGTAAAATTTTAAGTATTAATAAGCTGTTGTTATCCTGAATAAAATAAAAATAAAATAAAAAAATAAAATAAAAAGTAAAAGGTTCTATGAGGAAACTGGACTTCTGAAGGCTATTATTAATTTGAAAATAACTTTCTAGATTATCAATAACGCTACATACATTTTGAGATAATTTTTCTAAGAGAGGGACAACAAATTCGTCTTTATATGTTCTACTATTTCATTTTATTCGTTTAAATAATTTGATGTATTTCCAAATAATACTAACAGGTGTAGTTCTGTTAAAAGTATTACAGATGTTCGCCCAACCATTGCGTTTATGTTCTGAAATAGTCTTTTTCTTAACAGCATTAAGTCTTTTGTAATTAATGTAATTATAAATGGTTGGATCTCTTCTGTACAGTTTTAAAGCTTCATAAGTTTTAACTCTGTTCACATGTGTCATTCCACCAAGGTGCTGGAGGTTTGCAACGATAGTTATTTGCTTTGACAAACTTTGGCACAGTATCCCTCTTAAGTGTACGAAGCCTTTCGATAAATTCGTCATATGACTGTAATGGATTCTCGTTATTAACTTTAAAATTAGAAAAAGCAGTTATAGACAACTCGTTGTATATCGTCCAGTCTGTCTTATTGTATAAGAATGTTTCAATGGGAGGATTAATTTGGTATCTATCAACGGACAGTAAAACACGAGTAAGCGTAGGAAAATGATAGCTCCCCATACAATCATCATGCACCCACCATTCACATAATGGAGTGATTGGAGCGCTACAAAAGCTGAAATCTATAGCCGATGGATTTCGGTTAGGATAATTAATAGTAGTGAAGCTACCATTGTTAAGGACACATAGATCAAATTCTTCAATTAGATCGTATAACTGATGACCCCGACTTTTCGTGGTCATACACCCAAATGCCACATGGTGAGCGTTGAAATCTCCAGCCACATATATTGGCTTAGGCAAATCTCTAATTATATCACGCAGTTTACTTATTCTGAAGTTACCATTCGAGGGAGGGCAGTATACACATAAAATCGTTAATTGTTTACCACTTACATATAACGATAATGCCACAGTCTGAATGTCTTGGTAAAATCTGGTTTGAATAATATTATATTTAAAATACGGTTTGATCAAAATTGCTACTCCACCGTGCTCATTTTGGGCGTTATGATAGTGGGAATTATATCCCGAAATTTTAAAATGCTGAGTATCTTTCAGCCAAGTTTCATTGAGTAGACAGATATACATATTGCTCATCTAAAAATTTAGACAATAAGGGTTTTTTCCTATGTATACTTTGAATATTGTACTGAGCTATACATAAAATTATGCTCCCCAGCACATATCGAGCAACGTTGTTTACCATTATAAATTTTCGCAGGATGGTTGAACTTGAAGCACCGGAAGCATTGCTGTAACGGCGAGACATATTCAAACAAAAATAGGTTATATTGGATGTTGTCGGGCAGAACATTTGATAAGAAAGTTATACTGACAGTCTCGAGACCTACAGTACTTTGACCGACTTTTTTCGTGAATCTTCTCACTGAAATAATTTCATAGATCGATGACAGTTTTGTATATAAATCCTTGTTCGAAATGTTGGTAGGCACATATCTGATGATTCCAGTTTTTTCTATCTGCGCTGCAGGAATATGTGCCTTCAAGTTGTGCTTTGTTAAAAAATCTGTATTTGTGATGAAATTATTTGCAGTGTTGTATTGTTTAAAAACAACCGCATTTTTTTGGCATTGACTCTATGTAAAGTTGCCACACCTTTCACCTCCGAAGTAAAAATATAATTTAAATAAACTGGGCTTTTATTGCCAAGTTTAACCTGTTGGTCCTGGCTTTCAACAAAAACTTTGAAGTCCGTATTTGTATAATGTTCAGGATAAAGTCTCAGATAACCTGGTTTAAAAAAAGGAATAAAGTCATCCTCACCGCCGCCTACTTCATGTCTACATTCCTTCGTACCTCTTTTACGAACAATTTTGGAACGCTTCGGGGTTCCACCTGGGTCCTCCGGTTCATTCATTTTAATAATTAACAAAATGTACAATTATTTACACTGACTAAAATAAGTTTTGGTAATATTTACACAGGATATTTTAACGAAAAACAGTAATAATAATTAAATCGACCACCACGTTTGGAGTTCCCGCCAAAAGTCCAGTTTGTACAATAACCATTCGGATCAGTGTTTCCACTTTTAGGGATTTCGCCCTTTTTTAGGACGAAGACACAGATAAAAGACCATCAATTAAAGAAAAAAAATACATGCAAAAAATTTAGTTCATGGTAGGAATATCCAGATTTCAAGATTTGACTGAAATGATCAGACAAAAGTGAAACTAAAGCCTATTAAATGAAACTAATTTTTACGAATTCTATTGCGTTTAATTTCACTTTTTAATTCCCGTCGTGTCGGGAGGAACTGAGGTGTTTGACGTCCTGATATCATAGTTAGCCCGACTACCTTTAGTTTTTGAATATTAATGTTTGGTCCAATCTACGCAGAATGAGTTTATAGTATCTTGACGTCTTGCAGTGGTATACTTGGGTTTGGATTTAATTTTGTTAATTATAGCATCCCAAGCAGAAGGCAGCACTCATCCATCTTCTCTGTTGAAATTAAGATTTTTATAATTTCAATAGCCTCGCGAAACATACTTGGTAGGAATCGGTGTTCTTTTGCGAGGATTTGTGGTCTATCAATTCTAATGTAATAATGGGGACGATCTTGAATATGTTCACAAACTGCAGACTTCCCGGAACGTCGGTGCTTCAAGTCAGCTATATGTTCTTTTACGCGGGTTTTTATTGATCTTTTTGTATGTCCCATGTAAGAGAGACCACATTCACAATCCAGCTTCTTCGGTGGCTTGAAATATGTGTGGGTTTGCTAGCGTGGTAGCTCGGCGAGAGTTATATGTGTTAACGCCTTGCCACCAAACCCAACTGTAGTATTCATTGCTCGTACGTTATATATTTAAATGACAGAATAATATAGGATAGGATAAAGAATAATATGACTCCGAATGAAGTAATGTTATTCGAGATAAAAAATAACTTTTACTGACAACAATTTACAAGAATGAAATTAACTTCGCGTACAAGATAAGTTAATCGAGGTGAGAGGCGCGCGCGTGTTGTTCCTGAGCTAGCTGCCAGTGGAATGCACGATGGTCCGGCACGCGCTCTGACGAAGGTGCGGTGCGTCGCAGATCTAGGTCACGCCATTGTTTCGCTCCGGTGGCGTGATGTTCGAGCGTGGCTCAAGCTTCATAAGCGTAGCGGATTTATGTGGGGTCCCCCTGGCCAGACCGTAACTACGGTCGATGGTAGTCAGGAAATCTCACTCTTCGGCCACTCCGCGTAATTTTCTCCATGTTGACAATAGGTTCCGTAGGGACTTTGGGTTCCCGGTCTTGTATTTCTTTGGTCATGTACGCTGGTTTTAGTCTGTCAACAGAGACGTTGTTTTTCTTTCCTCTTATGTCTATAGTGTAGTACTTGGCTTGTCTGTTTAGTACTTTGAAGGGTCCGTCGTAGGGTGGTTCGAGTGAGCTTCGAACGTGATCTTGGCGAAGAAAAACATGAGAGGATGTGTGGAGGTCCCGTGGTACGTAGAATGGCGTCGTCGTGCTGGTGTGCCATGATGTCTGCTTGGGAGTGAGTTTGGCCATGCAGGATCGTAGACGTGTTACGTACTCTGTGATGTCTGCCGTGGTGTAGTCGTCTATTGGAGATAGGTATTGGCCTGGTAGGCTGAGAGTTTGACCATATACCAATTCGGCAGGAGTAGCTTGGAGATCTTCTCTCCATGAGTTGCGCATGCCCAAGAGAACCAGTGGAAGGGCTTTCGTCCACTGCGATGATGTGTGACACATGATCGCCGCCTTGAGTTGACGATGAAGTCGTTCGATGATGCCGTTTGCAGCTGGGTGATAGGCGGTTGTGCGCAAGTGACGCGCACCAACCAACTTGGTGAGAGCTTTGAAGAGATGGTTCTCGAATTGGCGACCACGGTCTGTAGTCACCAGTGCAGGACAGCCGAATCGGGCTGTCCAGCCGGATACTAGAGCAGCTGCGCAGGTCTCCGCCGTGACGTCCGCCATGGGATATGCCTCAGACCATCGCGTGAAACAGTCGATGACGGTAAGGCAATATCTGTAACCAGAAGACAGAGTTAAGGGCCCTACGATGTCGAGGTGGATATGAGAAAACCTCGACGAGGGAGTGGGGAAAGGTGAAAGCGAGGACGTGGTATGATGGGTGATTTTGCTCTTTTGGCATGACAAGCATTGTCGAGACTACTCTCTACAATCTTTACGTATCCCTGGCCATACGTATCTTTGTGAGACCACTCGCACAGTAGCTAAACTTCCAGGATGGTGTAAGCTGTGTATTACATCAAAAACTTGTTTTCTGAACTGGGGAGTAACATAAGGACGTGGCGGTTGCACAGAAGTGTCGCAGTAAAGAGGTAAGTTACCATTCATAGTATTGATCCTTTTCAATTGCAGAGTAGAGCCATGAAGGAGTAGATTTTGCAGTTCTGGATCTTTCTCCTGAGCTCGTGCAAGATCGTCGTAGTCCACAGCTGTAGTGATTTCCTCGACTCTAGAAAGTGCGTCAGCAACTAGGTTTTCCTTACCAGGTAAGTATTTCAGGTCCTTCGTAAACTGAGCAATGTAGTCAAGGTGTCTGAACTGTCTTGGAGTGCATTTGTCTTTGCTCTTTGAGAAGGCGAAGATAAGAGGCTTATGGTCGGTGAATATTGTAAATATCCTGGCTTCGACCATATGTCGGAAGTATTTGATGGCTTCGTAGACAGCTAGTACTTCTCAGTCGTAGAGGCTGTACTTCCGCTGTGCGTTGCTGAGCTCATGAGAGTAAAAAGCAAGTGGTTCCCAATCCTTACCTTTCCGTTGTTGAAACACGGCGCCTATGGCAGTTTCAGACGCATCTGTCACTATTGCTAGTTCTGCAGCTGGGTCTGGATGAGCGAGAAGAGTTGCTTGAGATAGTGATTCCTTACAGTCTTCGAAGGCTCGAAGTAATTGCGGAGTCATGACTATCGGATGAGACCCTTTGATTTTTGAGCCACTGAAAACGTCATTCAGCGGTGCTTGAAGTTGGGCTGCGTTGGGAACAAAACGAGGGTAGAAGTTTAGCATGCCTAAGAAACGTCTTAGTTCTTTGACCGTTTTAGGAACGGGGTATTGCCTGATAGTTTCGACTTTGGACTCTAGTGGTTTCGTATCTGCAGCTGAGACGTGGTTTCCCAGGAACGTGACTTCTGGTTGGCCAAGTATACATTTGGCAGTGTTTATCACGACGCCGTACTGCTTTAGGCATTCAAAGAGTTGCCGCAGATGGTTTTTGTGCTCTTGGATGGATGACGAAAATACCAAGATGTCATCTATATATCCGTAGCAGAAATCGAGTCCTAGCAACACCTCGTCAATGAACCTCTGGAAGGTCTGTGCTGCGTTTCTTAAGCTGTAATTCATGAACGGGAATTCGTACAATCCAAATGGAGTCGTGATCGCCGTTTTCATTATGTCATCTGGATTGACAGCAATCTGATTGTACGCCTTGACTAAGTCGATGGTAGAAAAGACAGAACAGCCTGTGAGTTGATACGAAAAGTCGTGGATATGACGAATGGGGTATCGGTCAGGTATCGTTCTATAATTCAGTGCTCTGTAGTCTCTACATGGTCTCCAACTATCGTCTTTTTTCTTTACCATGTGCAGAGGAGAAGACCAAACGCTTTCCGATGGTCTGGCTGTGCCGCTGGCGAGCATGTCTGAGAACTCCTGCTTCGCTGCTTGCATGCGAAGTGGATCCAGGCGTCGAGGCTTACTGGCTATTGGAGGTCCTGGAGTCGTCCTGATATGGTGCAGAGTATTGTGTTTGTATGGTAAGTGCATACCTGGAGGGCGAGTTATCTCTGGGAATTCACACAGTATCTGGTGAAGTTCGGTTTCTCCGGTGACTGACTTCACCGAAGCGATGTCCTCCGTTGATGTGTGAGCTACGGCGCTGACCGAGAGAGTAGTGACATTGTCGAATAGTCGTTGATTCCTACAGTCGACCAGTAAATTATAGTGGCTGAGGAAGTCATCTCCGATGATCGGTCGTATCACATCGGCTACTGTGAAGTTCCATGTGAAGTTCTGTCTCAATCATAAATTGAGGTGTAGCAGTATTGGTCCGTCGGTGTGTATGACTGTGTTATTAGCAGCTATGAGGTAATACCTGGATTTTGAACAGGGCACCTTGACTGCTGACCGGGGAAAAACACAGGTTTAAACCAGTGTCCACGAGGAACTGCATTTTTGATGTCCGGTTTGTGATGAATAAACGGCCTGTTGAAGAAGGGTAGTCGTTGGCCGCTACTTGCGACCACCCTATAAGTTTTCCGCCTTGAATGTGCAAGGCTGCTTACACTTGTTCGCCTCGCGCCCGTAGGTGTAATGATAAAAACAGTGCGGGTGATCCGGTGGACGCCTTTTGGGTTGGAATGTCCCAGAAAGGGATCGCGATCTTGAATGTGAGCGGGAACGTTGTTGCCTGTTTAGTTGAGTAGTGAGAAGTGCTACTTGCCTGGTTAGTTTACTTATCTGCTTGGCCATGGTGTCACGATTTTCCGGCGTGGCAGTAGAAGTGCTGGCAACTTGAGGGTTCATCGGTGCAATCTCGTACACCCTGTCTGCTAGTTCAGCTAGTTTTTCCAACGATAAGTCTGTTATCTGAGAAGCAATCACAGTGTGAATATTAAGAGGTAGGCGACTCGACCATAAGGTTTTTATAAAGTCTGACGCTGCTGATGCTCCTGCCAGATTCTGCAGGTGGCGTAAGAACTGCGACGGTTTCCGATCGCCAAGTTCTTCGTGGCAGAGCAGTTGCTGGAGACGCTTCTCCTGCGATGCTGAAAGACGACGAATTAGTTCCTTTTTCAACTTTAGGTACTTATCGGTTCTAGGTGGGTTGATAATTATGTCCTTAACTTCCCTAGCATATGGAGGTTCTAGTTACGCGGCTACGTAGTAGAATTTTTTCTCGTCACTTGTGATTCTGGATAATAAGAACTGGCCTTCGATTTGTGCGAACTATAAGGCGGGCTCATCGACCAGGAATTGGGGTACCCTAACACCAACTCTCAAGACTTCTGCGGGAGTCGAATCTTTCTGTTCGGTAACGTTGACTACACTCGGTTCGTCCATCATTGCACAATATCCAAAAAAAAAAATGATACGCTCACCTTGTTCGACTTGGACCAAACCCTATCCTTTGTTATCTCTCCGTAGCTTCGAAGCTGGAATTGTTACGGTCGTGAGGTGTGTAGATTCAATCTACCGTTGCTTCGGCTTGTCGGCAGGTCACCAATATGGGTTTGCTAGTGTGGTAGCTCGGCGAGAGTTATATGTGTTAACGCCTTGCCACCAAACCCAACTGTAGTATTCATTGCTCGTACGTTATGTATTTAAATGACAGAATACTAATATAGGATAGGATAAAGAATAATATGACTCCGAATGAAGTAATGTTATTCGAGATAAAAAATAACTTTTACTGACTACAATTTACAAGAATGAAATTAACTTCGCGTACAAGATAAGTTAATCGTGGTGAGAGGCGTGCGCGTGTTGTTCCTGAGCTAGCTGCCGGCGGAATGCACGATGGTCCGGCATGCGCTCTGAAGAAGGCGCGGTGCGTCACAGATCTAGGTCACGCCATTGTTTCGCTCCGGTGGCGTGATGTTCGAACGTGGCTCAAGCTTCATAAGCGTAGCGGATTTATGTGGGGTCCAACAGAAGCGAGTTACGCCACATATGTTTTAATGGAAGCTCGCTTCAAGATATACGCAACCTTGTCTGTGACTCCTCTGACATAGGGTAGTACAGCAGGCACACCCTCGACTGTGGCCGGTTTCACTCGGTCAGCTTATGGTTATCTCTGCGATATTATGTCTGAATGATTAACATACATACATACATATAATCACGCCTCTTTCCCGTAGGGGTAGGCAGAGACCAGTTCTTTCCACTTGCTACGATCCTTACATACTTGTTTTGCTTCGTCCACTTTCATTATTCCCTTCATACATGCTCTACGGTTTAGGGTACTCTTGACCTGGCCTTTTTTCAAGACGTCCCTGATTTGGTCTAGAAATGTCCGCCTAGGTCTACCCCTTCCAACACTTTCATTCACACTCGCCTTATACACTTTTTTCGTCAATCGGTATAGACAACAACCGAGTCAGTATTGAATTGGCGATACTAGCGAATACTTCTAAGCGATACAACTGCGAACTAAAGTGATCTGTAGAACAATGTGTTTTGTAATTAGTGTGATCTTAAGTTGTAATTAGTGTTCTTTAATTAAAGTGTCAATTTTGGTAATTTACTCGGCAGTGTTTAATTGTCTCGAACCCCAAGCTCGTAACATTCTCAAGTCACAATGATAAAACTTTTAGCGTAGTTACGTAAAGATATTTGGTAATGATAGTATGATAGTATAAATTCCATAGTATTTGATACTCACAACGGTCGATGCTCAAATCATGCTGGATGGCCGACGACATTGTGCCGAGGGCTTAAATAGCTTGGTTCATCGCCTACAGCGTTAATCGTAGAGAAGAGGAACTCATGATTAAGTAACAGCTGTGCAGATCAATAGATCTGCGAGATTAAGTTGCACTTGCCGCGGTCAGTCCATGAAAGAGTGACCATATTCTTAACATACCGAGATTGAGAGAATAGAGAGTGCATCTGTATCCTCAGACACTTAGTGCACTTTACTGTGTTATGTTTTTAAATGCATGCAGCTAAAATGATAATAAGTTTATTATTACTTTATAATTTTCAGGGACAGATGAAAGAATATAAACATGAAGCATGATGAAGTCTCATAAACATATTGGCCTTTAAACACAGCAATCTTATTTAACTGATTCCTACAAGTTTCCTTCCTTGAATTATTAAGTTTACATTTATACTTAAGTAGAATGTTAAAATAGACTTCTATAATGTATTTAATTATTAATTATTAAATGTTTATAATTATCACAAGTAATAATTATATGAAAAATAAAGCAGCCATTATGTCTCCGTGTCTACGTTTTTATTTCCCCATTAAAACATTTGAAGGGCACAGGGAAAAAAGGAGCTCATTGACAATTATACGTTTTTGAAATGAAATATACTATTTTATTTCGTTTTCTATGGCCAATCAGAGCACGTTATTTTAAACACGATAAAAGGTGCTGATTTCGTGTAAAGTTAATTGAAACAAATTCTACTTTAGAATAAAATGCGCTCATTGCATTCCATACCGAGTAAAAAGGTGCCCATTATCTATGAAACCACGCTAGAACGGGCTGATCGCAGCGATTGTAACAGACAACGCGCTCATTGTCGGCCATCTTTACTATTTTGTCATACAAGTGACAGCTGTTATAGATAAGCTTCCTTGCATAAATTTTACGACTCCTTTAATGTACGTTAGGTTTTTAAAAGTTTTTGCTTATTTATCTCCTAATGGACAATAATACGATTCAATAATACGTAGGGCACTCAATAAGTTTTAAGATATACGAAAAGTATTCTAGATAGTATTAATATTTATTTTACATCTTTTCAAAATATTCTCCATCATGCTCTATACAAAGTTCCATTCGCCTAAGCCATAGATAAATATATATGTAGCAAGCTAGCCTAAGCCAACTCTGAAAACACTTTTGCCCACAGACTAATATGATGCTTTTGCCAGTCTCGATCTGACAGGTCGGAAATCGCTTCTTCGTAGGCAGCCACGAGTAAAGTAGAGTTTCAACACAAGATTCCTCAATAAATACTTTTGTTCTAAGGGAGGTATGTGAAGAGGCGTTATCGTGATGCAGCATGATTCCCCGAAGCCCGGTCTTTGGTCTTCTCTCCCGCACAGTTTGAAAAGCTTTGGGTAATGCAACTGTAGTATACCATTCAGAGTTTCTAACCTACAATTTTACAACATTGACGTAGACAAATGTCCGTTCCGCGAAAAAAAAATTGCCACCATTTTTTGTCTTTGCAGTTTTGTCAGTAACTGTCCTTCTGAGTAGACCCACACTGATGATTGCCTTTTATTTTCCGGATCATATTGATAGATCCATCCGTCTTGTCACCAGTAACGACTTCTGAAACACGCCTAGATGCACCGTTTTCAAAACGTAAACGTTTCATGGCACCAATTGACAAGAGTCTGTCTTTCGCTTTCGGAGAACAAACGAGGGATCCATCAACAACAAAGCTTCCTCACTCCAAGATGTTGATGTAGGATGGTATGAATGCTCCCCGAACTAATGCCTACAATCTTTTCGATGTCCGTATATGCGATTCGTGGGTCTTCTCGCACCAACATTTCAGTAGTCCATACATTTTCTACCGTTACTGCTGTTTGCGGAGCCCCGGTACTTTGGCCATCTTTAAAATTAATTTTACCCGAATATATTACTCGAACGAAAAATCGAATCGAAAAATAAATTACTCGAGAGAGGGCGCTGCTTTGCCACAATAAACGTCGAGTCTGTATTGAAAGTGAAATAAAATAGATTTATAGCATTATAAAAAAAAGTAAATGAATTTGTGAAATTGGACAAAAATCTATAAGGACAATATATAGGACACAGTGAAAACCTAGTGAATAACAAAAAACATCATATTTTCAAGTGGAACAACACAACGGCTACTTTGCGATATGTCAAGTGAAAAAAGCAATTAATAACCGAATGTAATAAACGTGAGTGAAAAATAACGATCAATAAGCTGAACAGTGACTGAAAAGTGTGATAGATTAAACATTGGTTAATGCACAAAATAAAACAGAACCTAAAGAAGTGAGCAGAAACGAAAACGTGACACACGAAAATCACCTGTAGAACAACTAACGCCATCTATCAAAACCTTTAAAAACTATGCACTCATTGATCACGATTGTTTAGTTAAGTAACATTACTAATGAGCCGGAAACATTTGCTAGTTCATCACTCCGCTAACAGAGTACGCTGTCTACAATTACCGCAAAAAACAACATTTGCTATAAGGTTGCATTACACCAAAACTTCATAATTACCACTTTACTGTAAACATGGATGAAATAAAAAACATGTTAGAAGACCTTCGGAAGGAAATGTTGCAACAAAAAAAGACATACACGACATGAAAGAAGATATTAAAAATACAATCAACAATAATATAAATGAAAAGTTTAAAAAAGTGGAAATGAAGAACAAACATCTAGAAAATAAAATGGAAGAACATTCTTTACAAATCAACAATATTGAAAGATTTATGAGACGTAAAAACTTAATTTTCTTTGGTGTGGAAGAAGGGGAAAAATCATACCACGATTTGGAAAATGCAATATTATACATAATAAATAAATACTTTGGTTTTCATTTTGAAAATGGTTTGGAGTCTTTTAGAAGAATCGGAAGAAAAGGTGAAACAGTCAGGCCTGTTGTTGTCACGTTCAGCACAATGGGATTTAAATTCAAAATTCAACAAAACCAAAAATGCTTAAAAGATTCCCCTACCATGTTAAACAGGGTTTTCCTAAAGAAGTGTTGAAAAAACGTAAGGAATTACATTCCCAGTTGAAAGAAGAAAGAGAAGCAGGTAAGAAAGCTTTTATAAAATATGATAAGCTCAGTATATATTACCAGGAAAATATAAAACTTCTACACAAAACCCTACCAATAAAAGGTTACTATCTGAATCTCCCGAAACAACATTAAAAAATCCTGCAAACACTTCACAAAATAAAAAACAGTCAGTTAAAAAGAGCAAGACAACAACAATGAAGGAATACATTCAACAAAAACCAAAATTTCTACATAATTTTGAACGGGCTACGAATGACTCTACGCCTAATAAAGAGGACACAAATTAGCAACTACAAAAGGCCCCTCTCAATCTCCTATCACGGCTTGTCACCGCAGGAGACAAAGACTATAACCCTCCAACACAACAACAACTATATATATGTACGTACAATGTAAGATCACTGTTATCGCCACAACGAATGATATTACTCAAACACTACTTAAGTAACAAAATACGAAATTATTGGATTGGCGGAAATAAGAAGAACTGGTAGCCACATTATAGAACTTGAAGAACACATTTTCTGGTATACAGGAATAACGAAAGGTCTGCATGGTGTTGGCTTCTTGATCAAAAAGAAATATAAAGCAAATATTCAGAACTACATAGGAATATCGGAAAGAGTATGCATGCTGAATCTCCAATTTGAAACAACAAAAATATCATTAATGCAAGTATATGCACCCACTCACGACGCAACTGAGGAAGAAATGACATCCTTCTACGACCAACTTCAAACTGCCCACTCACTCGCCAACGAGACACTGATTATAATGGGAGATTTAAACGCCAAAATTGGACAAAGAAAACAAGGAGAAGATACAGTCATGGGACTATACTGCTATGGCATCAGAAATGATAGAGGCGATCGGATAATACAATATGCATTAGAAAATAATAGTAATAAATACATTATTTAAGAAAAAACAAAAATCTTATGGACTTGGACTAGTCCAAATGGAATGATTAAAAACCAAATCGATTACATTCTCAGTATTAACCCTAAAAAATTCTCAAATATAGAAACATTAAACAACAACCTATTCACAAATGACCATAAGTTAGTACGTGGTACATATAACCTAGAAAAACAAAAGAAAAGTAGAGCTATGTTTCGCAGTTTTCCAACCCTAATACAAGGCGAAGAAAACACAAAAGCATTCTTGAATTCATTAGAAAAAGAAACACAAAAAATATCTCGGTGTGAAACAGAGGATGTAGAGTCCTATTATTGCAAAATAGAAACAATTACAAAGTATAAATAGCACAAGATCAGAAGAAGAAAAGAAGGATACAATATCAGCAGAAACAAAGACTTTGATAAAAAGAAGAATTAAGCTACAACGTAAAAAACCTAAAAGTAGAGAAGAGAGGCAGGAACTGTCCAACCTATATAAAACAACAATCAAGAGCTTAAAAAACGGCTACAATAACTATAGAATGAAAATAATAGAATCAAATTTATTAAAATCTGGAAGCCAAAAAAAGGCGCTTAAACAACTTAGTACCAGCAAAACATGGATTCCAAAGCTACAATCAAAAATTCCACACAAACACACGTTAACAAGAATCGATATAGTTAAAGCTGCCTCGGATTTCTACAAAAATCTGTATACCTACCAAAACTGTAGCAAAGAAATCAAAAGAAGCACAACTCAAGTTCACACCTCAATGTCTCTACTACCAACTCGACATTTCATAAAATTACAAATAACATTTGTAATCATGTAAAAAAATTGGAACCAGTAGCTAACGCGGGTACATTTTTCAAAACAGAAATTCCTGGAATTCGGCCGCTTGAACTCCGAGATCACGGCCACAATTATTTTTATAAAATAAAAATAATATATATAATAACACTAATTCTCACTAATTTTAATATATTAACACGAAATTTGTTTTATTTTATATTATGTGTAATGAATATGTTGTTACCTATTTCCTCGGTGAATTTCTTAAATGGCAATAGTAAGCACTCCACTAGCGACGCTGTCAACTGAACAGATAAGTTGGTGGCACTATAGTTTGTGCCTAATGCCTAGTTCTAGTATATACGCTTCATCTCTATTCATGTGTAGTCTGTACCAAAGTGAATACAATCACTACGTTTAGTCTGTGCTTCATGTTTAAGCTGTCAGGCTACAAAGTGAAAGGCTCAGAAGGGCTAGAACCCAGAGCCGTAAAGCCTGTTATATAAAAAAAATGTCAGGTTACACGCATGACAAATACAAAATAAGTAAGATTTTGATAATGTGAAACAGGTGAATAAATTTATAAAATCAGAAAAATGACAGAAGACCAAGATGCTAAGGATTGTCAATCAGATTTGGGCAGTAAAACATTTGTGAACAAAAACAGAGATAATAAAAAACCAAAAACTCAACGGCCTTTGACTAAAGTATTTGACATTACATCTTTTTACTTCATAACATCATTGTGGTACACTAATATTTATATTTGTCTATTTCAGATAATACTTCGCCGACTACCACCTACTATGACAGAAGAAGCGTTCTTGGATCAAGTATCACCCGTACCAGAACATGATTATTTCTATTTTGCCAAGCCTGATCCATCACTTGGCAATAATGTATATTCAAGGGCTTACATAAATTTTTTGAATGTCGATGACATATATCTATTTAGAGATAAGTTTGATGGGTATGTCTTTGTAGATGAAAAAGGTATATTTTTCACCTGTATTTATTTAAAGTGATCTAAAGTGTTAATAATTTTATGTTCTGCTTTTAGCCATCCCTAAATTATTAATTGCTTTTACAGGTCTTGAATATGTTGGTATAGTGGAATATGCACCATTTCAAAGAATACCTAAAAAAAAGAAGAAGAAAGACCCAAAATGTGGTACAATTGAGAGTGACCCCATTTATCAGGACTTTATAGAGAGCTTAAGCAAAGAGCCAGAAACTGAAAACCAACCTAAGCTTGAGTATTCATATCCAGTTAACGATGGTAGATTTAAATCATTAATGTTATATCTTAATGGTTTTTTTATTTATTTATTGAAACTTAACTCTAATAACAGGAATTACACAATGTGACAGTGTAGTTCTTTTATGCTTAACAAAAAATATGACACTTAACTATAATAGCAACAGCATAGTTCAATGTCTTCAGTCATTCTGTTAACAGTGTGTATTGTTCACATTAAAAGAACCTTGTCTACTAAATTGGTATAGGCTTGCCACACAGACAGCAGCTGCGGCTGCCACCATTCTATACATACCTTACAAAGACATAAGCTTTATGATTATTTAAAATGCTTAGAAAAAATATATAATAGTGACATAGTGGTAGCACAGTAATCAGTGACATTGGGTTGAGGTGCCAACACCACAGACATTTAATTCACAGGAGTTGTGCCCTGTGTCAGTGGCACACCCCACCCCTTCATTTCCTTGCTTTTTCATACAAAAATATATACTAGAAAACTACTTACTAGTGTTTAATCAATTTTAATTTTCTCAAATACTATAATAAAATATTAATTTTTAATTTTTTTTAATTAAACACCTTTATATATTCACATAAAATAAATAGTTTTATGGTTTTATTCAATTATGGTATAAATGATAGATCACACTTAAACTTGCAAAGATGTACTAATTTCTTTGAATAAATTTAATGTTTGACATTTAAATAATATTTGAATTACAGCCAATGACAAAAAAGTTCAATCTACACCTCTACTTGAGTATTTAGCAGCACGCAAGCTGGATAAACGAGGAAGAGATGAAAGGCGCAGAAGAGAAAATGATAAAAGAAAGATGAGGGTTGAAAGGAAGTCTAAAGACATTCCAATAAAGGTAACAATTCAATTCAGTATGTTCAATTTGATAGAGGTGATAGAGTATAAAATAAATTGAATCTTCAAATTTGATTGCATAAATCTTTTTGGGAACATATTATGCGGTGGTAGTAAAAAATGTTGGTGGCAACTGGAATGATCTTATTGTTAGTATAATGTGACCATATGTCCCATTTTGAATGGGGTTTTCTCTTTTTTCGGTACTCCATCTCTGTGTCCTCGAAGACAGCTTCGGGGCCCAAATAGTCTTGTTTTTTAGCAACTGAAAGATTCGAACAATGCAACATTTTTTATGTGGCATTTCAGAGTCAACTGGTTACAAGTTGAGCTACAACTGGGCGAGTTTGCTGTTTCTCTGGTGGTATAATAATCTGACCAGGCGATATCATTGTCAATTATTTTTACACAACGGTTTACAATTGAAAACTTTAGATCTCTAAAATCGACCAGGCGATATCATTATCAATTATACAACCCCCGTTACTAATAGAAAATAATGAGACTGTAGAAATTTTTGTATTTGTGATTAGTTGAGTTTAGTTTACAACTATTATTTTATTTATGTAGGGCTACTTTCCGCAACTCAACGTCTAAGCGCGCATTTTCTGTATGGGTAGAAATATAAGACTATTTGAGCTATGCATGAAATCTCCTCAAAGAAAATCAGCACTCCCATGATGTGGCGAGCATAGAAATTTTGGTGTAAATTCTATCATTATACCTGTTTAAGTGACTATTTTTACTCCAAAGATTTAGGGTCTTGAGTCTATTGGCAGTTAAAGTTGCTTTGTGTTGTATGTGCGAAGCGGGGTTAGCTAGCATTAGAGCCTATGCTGGATATTTTGTAGTCCTTAGGCACCCGGTGGCAGACATATATGCCACTCTCTGGCTTCGCTAAAGGTTATAGTGGTGGCTTCAGGTGGGAAGGACTTCGCTCTCACAGAATACCAGCGTGAAATAACAGCTTTATGCTGCTGTTTTCCTTAATGAGTATAGAGAACTGGAGACCCTTTTTTACTACAACTACAACATATACTCTTAGTCCTGAGGTGACAACACATCTGCATTTTTATTCTTTATTGACGGCTCCGTGGCGCAGTAGCTTAGCAATGAGTTGCTGCACTGGGGGCCGCGGGTTCGAATCCCGCACGGAACAAATATTTGTATGACCTACAAATAATTGTTTCGGGTCTGGATGTTTGTCCTTGCGCAATTTGTGTTTGTAAACTGCCTCCACGATACAGGAGAAAATCCTAGTGTGAGGGTAACTTTTTTTTTAAAGAAAAAATATGTAGATGTGTATGGGCCACAGCATACACTTACCATTAGTGAACTGTGTGCTTGCTTGTCACTACTCGTTTAACACCTTATTCCATGAAAAATATGTCAGTTATTACAATATTTGTAAATTCAAAATTTTCTCAATTTACATTTTGAATAATGTTGTATTTATATAGCAAACTGGTGATATATCTGAAGATGATAACATTAATAACTACAATAATGAGAATAATTATGATCGGAAATGTCAACACGATAATTTTTGGCATGGAGAAAAAATTATTTATCATAATTCAAAAGTGAAATCTATAGAAAAAAAATTGGATACAAAAGTGATGCATGGCTCTGATGAATTTTTAAGCACTGACTCCGATTGGGATAGTCATTTCCCAGCTTTGACTATGAAATGTCATAACACTTTCACTTTAGCTTCTGGAAAATTTTGTGATAAACATGAAATTCAAGGTGGTAGCCCTAAGAGTTGGGGTGATGCATACTTTAAGGTGTTCATTTTCAATACACTATTTAATATGTTATTGTTTCTTTATTATAAAATATTTAGCCTAGTAGTAAATTAAGTAGTGTTAAGTAGTTACAGAAGTCTTATTAAGATGTATTCATGTACTTATAAATTTGTTTTCTTCATTTCATAAACCTGTTGTCGTAAATTTTTTGCTCCCCAATAAAGTCATGTATTATAATGTAAATGCATTAATAAATATCATTATGATTATTTATAAATAAAACTTAACATAAAAAATATTTACAGGAAGACGAGATGGTTGATAATGATGTTAAGAAAATAAAATCTAGAGAATGGGAAAAAGATAAATCAGTTACAGATTCTAAAGATGAGCAAAATAAACAGGAAAGCAGAGATGGAACTGTGTTCGAATCTAGAACATACCGTGAACAGCGTAAAATTGGTGGTAGCGCTATTATTGACAAGAAGAAAAAACTGGATAGTGACAAAAAAGACGAGGAATTGACAGAAGATTTTGACAAAAATTTCAAAAAAGATAAAAGAGACAAATTTAAAGAATCGCCTCGAGAACAGAAAAGCAAAAAATATAGTGATACAAGAAAAGAAAGGCTAAGCAAAACTGATTTTATTAAAACTGAAAAACAGTCTGTCATAAGTAAAATGATTTCATCAGAGAACAAATCTAAATCCCTTAACTATGATGATATCAAACCCTTTACTCAACTTCCTCAAGTTAAAACTGATGATTTGACTAAGATTATCGATAGTCTAGATAGAAAAATGAAATTAGATGATTCTCAATATGAAACCAAAAAAGATTCTTGTGATGGAAATCATAAAAGTGAAAGTACTGTCGAAATCACTAAAATGAGGCGAAATAGTTTAGAATCTGGTGATGTATCTGTGAAAGAAGAACTGATGGTTAAGCGCCAGAAATCTCTTGAGGACAGAAGTAAATCAACAGATAGAGAAGAATCTGAAGAAATGGAAAAAAGCGAAAGTTCTGATAGGCGCACTGAACGGAGAATTAGAAATAAGGTAAGTTAGATGGTTAGCTAACTACTATGATTAAATTTTATTATAACTAATAAGCAATATAAAATAACATTACATTCATACATCCATACAATATATATTGAAACATACATACATATATACATGTCATCCCAAAATAAAATCACGTTAACCTCTTAGGCCCCGTCATTTTTTAAACCAACTTGGTTAGACCTATGGTCATGTGAAAGAGTATAGTAGGTCAGGCCAAAGATATTTTTTTAAATGATGGTAAATATAACATAAGAGTCATTATTATGTTCTCATCCAAAAATAAAAAAAATTATCAACAATTAAAATATCGTATTATTTTTATGAAGTTCAAGTGAGTTACAAAATATTGCTAGGAAACGACAATTGCCGGACATTGTCGATAAATAAAATTTTTTGAGAAATTATCAATTACTGTGTAGTGGCAGTGTATGAATATTCATATCATTCTGTAGGTGCCATAAGAGGCAACTAGACTTGGGGAAAAGTTTTATGTTTTAATAACCGCGGCCATCGTTTCGGTAACAAAAAAGTGGCAGTAAAAAATAATTGTGACATTGTCACGTTGGATAACTACTTGAAATATTAGACCGACTTATAATATGCATTTTACATTTAATATTAGGTTTTATTTCAGTAGTCGATTTTTTATTACCTTCCTTACCTAAGCTACGTGGCTATGTTTATAATTACTATTCTAAAAAATATTTTTGAAATATACGAATTTCACTTAACCTAGCCGATCAGTTGTTGTACCGTTACAGTACAGGGTACACATACCTTGTTACACAACAAGGTACACGTAGTTCCTTTTGTTTGGTTACGTCAGTTACCAATTAATAACGGGGAAAATAGTACGGTGGCGGCGCGAAGGAACTACGTTATTTTGGAACGTAGTTAGTCACAGTTACCGTGATGTTATTTATCACTCATGTCTAGAGGCGACAGAGGGAAATAAATCAGGAGATGGGCAGCAGCGTCTTCCTAATAACAACTAAAAATAAAAACTGCAGTTGCCAACGCGCTTGCCAAGCGTGGAAACTGTGACAAATATGCCCCCTATGAGGCAATATATGGGGAGAGGCCTACGTTCAGCAGTGGTTTTTATAATCTGTAACGATCTTTGTTGTAATAGCGATAAGAAAAAATGTGGAAGGAAAAAAAGATGAACATATTTTTTTAATTTAATCTCGGTGGGACGCGGATGCTCCGTGCGATCTTTAGGGCAGCGTTGCTGAGGTGGGCTATATTTGTGGCAGTTACATTTTATTTCCTTGACCCATGACCAGCAGTGGAAGGAAACTGTAAGAGAGGGATGTGGTAATTTTATTATTTGAAAAAATATTTTCATCAACATCAAACAACTAATGAAACAAAAGTGGCGTAAACAAGTTCAATGGTTTAAACAGTAATGAATAACAAAACCAATCAAGTTTACTGAAAGGAAAAAAAAATCAAATATTATATGTCACTTCTACAACTAAGGCAAATCTAACGAATACCCATATGTTTAAATCCAATATCTATATGTTAAAATCAAATAACTACTATAAAGAAAGAAACAAGGACATAGAAACATTCGAAATTTCATAAAGATATATTTATAATATATCTTTATGAAATTTCGAATATATATTTATAATATAATTATATCGATATAATCAGTAGGAGCCTCTAGGAAATAAAAGAAATATTCAATCATAGGCATATACTTTCTTAAGCTATTTTTGACCAACGCCATTTTTGTTGAAAAAACTTCGCCTTAATATTTACTACAATATATCGAAATTATAACATAAAACGCAATTTTCGCAGATTGGACTTTGTGGAGTATGAAAATATGTGTTTTTTTACATGATTTACAGTGAGTGTGAGTATATATATACATACGTGAACGGCACAGTATTTGACAAATTTTATTAAGTGTATAATATTGTTACGAAACAAAATATAAGCAAATAGCTTTTAAAAATAGTATAATTACTTACCTTTTATATAAAAAACTAGCAACAAACTTTATTTTGTACCTACTTAATTTTTTAAAATTTGTAGTTGCCTCTTACACTCACGCGGCGAAGGAAATAGACTGAAGTATATGAAGTAAACGCGACACACGTAGGTAAAGGAGGAAACTCGTCATTTGAAGTAAATTCTCTTAATTTCGAGAAGCGTAATTTAGTAACAAAAGTAATTCTAATAAAATGTTTAGAACTTTAGTTGTAATAACATTTAAAAAAGAATTGTTCTGAGCACTCTTATCTATAGTTATGAGTAAACGTAGTGATTATATACTCTTTGGTTTTGAGGGGTCCCTTCTAAATATTACCATACTCTTTAGAGGGTTCTACAAATTTGTCAATGAGGTCATCCACGACTTTCTGCCACCAGGGCGGCGCCACTAGAAAGTGAGGTATAATATTTGACAGATTTCATAGTGGGGAAGTTAATTTGTTCGGAAAATGTAAAAGCCATTCTTTCTTTTTGTACTATTAGCTCTATTTTCTATTAATAACATTAAAAATGTATAAAGCAAACCACAGATGTTCATAAAAGTAGAAAAATATATTTTTTTAATGTGCAAAAAATTAAGGAGCAAACCATTGCCGCATTGTTTTGTGTATTAATATAATACTCTAGAAACTGATAAACTTTTATTAAAAAACAACTTAGTTCTCAATTAAATTACATTGTGTAACAAAAAACTTTACCTCAGCGTCAACTACAGCGACATTTGGTGAGCAGAAAATTATTAGCCCTCATTGGTGTCCTAGTGTATTTACCTGGTTCTCCACAGATTAAAAACATGATATAATAGTACCCTGTCAGTTATTTCAAAAAAAAAATCATGATTTTTCTCAAGATCTTCTAAACATTTTGGAACACCTCAATATCTGTATCAGATTTATTTTTGGTCTACGTAATATGATTATATCATATAATACAGGTTAATAAGTTTAACTGGCTCACAATTCGGCAGAAGCGGAATTTAAGATATTGCGTGTCCTGTAACTTCGTTGTGGATAAAACTAGAAGCATGAGTTTTCAGTAACCAAGTATCCATTGCATATGCACGGTATAATTAAAATTTCATTCAATTTGAACCAGGAATTTAAGAATTCTAACTAGTCAAAATTTCTTAATTTTGTCACTCACTGACTTACCGATCATCAAAACCTTAAGGCACTTCTAGCAATCGCACTAAAGAATCTAATTTAATATAATATGTATTACTTGTGAGATACATTGTGTTTTCATGCGATGGCCAAGTCAATATATTTATTTAAAACATAAAAGATTTTTAATATTGATATGGTCACTATAAGATGTTGTTGGGTTAGCTAATTACGTAGTAACTTGAGAAAGAAGGACCCTTAAGTAGGGTCTGAATAAATTAACCGACTTGGTAATTCATGGATCTCACAACTTTTTACGTTAGAAAACTGAGTTGCGAGACTTGGTTTTAGTTAGTTATGTTTTTAATGGCATTCCTTTTTTTTTTCATATTAAATGACCCATCTTCGTCATCTTATTTTTAAAGTAGATATCACTCCCTCGCTCTTCACCACCTGATAGGGTAACCTTCTTCTTTTAACAACAAAATTTGTATTCCTAACTTCTTGACCATTCAAGCTACACCTTTTTGGATCTCCTTGCATGATGGCATCTGGAAAGTACCTGTGGCGACGCTGTCGTCGCGCCACAAGCGAAACACATCGAAGCCTAAATCGCGATATCAAAGTTCCGAAGTAAAAGCAGTATATACAGAATAGCTCTGAACTACCACTCGGAGCGTTGGTCGCTCCCCGGGCAGAACACCTTGCCCGGCGGGAGATATCCCCCCTTTTCCTTTCACCGGCTACACTGGTGACCCCGATGTGATATTAACACGCAACCAACAACCTTCGGAAAACTACAACTTCAAGCCTTCCTCATTATCCTCAAGAACCCCTACCATTCACTCCCAAGAATCGTCTTCTAGTCTTCAGCTTCTGCAAGCCAATCCAACTTGTCTCCATCTTGACTCACCACAGATTATAAGGCAGACTTCTCGCATTTGCTTCGGCAAATCGTTCCCATCGACATCACTTGCAAGTGCGTAGTATGGCATGCATTACACACCGGCATATCGTTCGCACCGGCGTCACTTGCCCTTACGCACACAGCATGCGTTCCCCATCGGCATTAAGGACGTACCGACAATCGGACTCCACTATCGACGTCTGGTCTGAGCAGGGGGTGATGTGGCGGCACTGTCGTCGCGCCACAAGCGAAACACGTCGAAGTCTAAATCGCGATATCAATGTTCCGAAGTAAAAGCAGTATATATAAAATAGCTCTGAACTACAACTCGGAGCGTTGGCCGCTCCCCGGTCAGAACACCTTGCCCGGCGGGAGATGTCCCCTTTTCCTTCCACTGGCTACATGCCTAATAAGTACACTTTTATAAAGTTGGTTTGTGGACTAAATATTACACGTCAAATCAATCAAGTACATTATAATATGTAGTTTCAAACAGATGTATAATATATTCATAATTATTTGTATGTACTAATTTTATATTCCTGTATATAAATATGTATGTAACGGCTCGGAGAGCCAGTCTATGTGAACAGATCTTTATACAGAAACATGACTAATTACTATTTAGGTAACTTCCTTAAATAAATGGTTGTTATTAGACATGGGCAATGTGTATCACTTAAAAGAAAAGATTGATATGTATCTTTTGATCACTAGGATATGTATCACTCTTTTATATCTTTATATCCTTATGTATCAGTAGATCATGCTCGCGTTCACGACACGCATCGCATTACATTTCGTTGCTCACTCAGCGTGGCTCGCTTCGCTCAACTCAATCCTATCAGTAAGAGTGATAGATACCTATCGACCTATATATAAGACCTATAGAGAGAGATACCTGTTTGCATTTTGCTTGGTCGTAACATTGTGCATCTTTCTGATATATTTGGTTGCTGTTTCTTTCTAGGTATTTTTTAATCATAACAAATAGTGTTATGATCAAAAAATTAAAGTTTTTTTATTTCTCAGACATGCCGGTTTCCTCACGATGTTTTCCTTCATCGCCGAACACGTGGTAAATCAGCACTTAAAATTGCAATCAACAATTTCATTGGTGCCGGCGGGGATCGAACCCGGGTTGCTCGCGTACTGTGAAACTTACAGCGATCGCTATTATTGTTATGATTGATAAATATTAATAGGCACTTACTCGAAAAATTTACTTACAATTTTAGTTTAAACTAATAATTAAATAAATGATTAACGTAAATAACATAGGTAGGGTATTTTTAACAATTTTAAACTAATATACCTACGGATTTGTTCGGAACCTTGGGTGCGCGAGTCCAACACGCACTTGGCCGTTTTTTTATGGATATAAACGACTACTATTTCGGTTATAAAACTTTCTTAAAAACGATGGTTTTATAACCGAAATTAGTTTGCATTGTTTACTAAAAAATGCATAGGCAAAGTACACATAGGTACGGTTTAAACCAGTATAATACTTAAATGTTAACGTACCGCTTAATGACTTTAAGCACTATGCGCCAGTCATAGAGTTATCAATTTACCTTTTTGTGCCAACGTATTACAGTTTATAATGGTCAAACAACTCACTCTCTCCGTCTTGCCAAAGCGCGACAGAACATTCTAAATAGTGAGCTGCGAAAGAAACGTCTGTACTATGGACTTCGAAATCTTCCTGGAATGCCCAGCCACGCCGGCCGAGGTATAATAGAAAGCAGTGTGCGCAATGTGCGACACAGATGTTAGATATAAAAAGTTAAAAGATGCCTTGAGTGAATAAGTTGTAAAGATATACTGATACAGTGATACATTCGGATGCGGATGGATATAAAGATTGATTAATGGAAACGGATTAATTCATATCTTTTGTATCTATCTTTCCTGAGTTACCCATCTCTAGTTGTTATTGCTATTTTAATTACGGAAATTTATCAGACGCAGACAAAATACAAAATTATTTAATTTATTTTTTTCAGGACCGTCCAAGCCTCGTTATTTACCAACCAGGGATGGGTAAATTTAGCAAGCAAAGACTTGCAAAAGAAAAAGAAGTGCAGCCAACCGCTACAACTAAATCTATGAACGATAGTGAAAAGAAAGACACTTGAGATGACCGTCATACTTCCCAATATTTGGACAACAATCAACGGAATTACCCTGAAGCTGGCATTCAATACAAGTCTTGCAGAAAGTAGAAGAAGGACATTTGAATTTGCCAACTGATGGACGGACTGTTCCTGTTCATTCAGAGCTGTTGTTTTTATCTTTTTTATTTACACGATATAAGAATATGTTGAAGTTTTCTTATCAATTTTAAAATCAATGTGACCACATTGAATGCTTCATACTATTAGCTTGGCGATTTAGTTTGATTTGTTTAATTTCGTTTAAATATATTTCGTTTTTAACTGGGAAAATGGTTTTCATTTGACTGTTTTAGGCCTAAAATATCCCTATTTCTTTGCTTATGGTTGTCTCGTTTGTACAGTGGTCAAGGGGCCTAATAACAGTTATCGATTTGTTTCTGTTGAGAAATACTCAGTAGCAGCCCGAAGTCAGTAGGTTGGCAGTATTTTACCCCTGTGCCTCGGAAAACTCGTAAAGTCTGATCACTTCCCGGTTGTGTCGGATTGCAATCCCATCTGACTGAGATGAGAGTGAGAGAACAGAGTGTTTCATTATCATTATTTCTTTTGTTTTCGAGAGTCATTACGAATCCGTTCGCACGCAGACTTGACGACTTCCAGCCTCCCGAACAAGCCCGTTTCCGAAAAGGCTTTAGTACCATGGACCACATACACAGAAGACAGAGGAGTATAATCTGCCACTTTGCCTTGCGTATGTGGACTATGAGAAAGCCTTTGATTCCGTTGAAATTTGGGCGGTGCTGCAGTCCCTTCAGCGGTGCCTAGTTGACTGTCGGTATATCGAAGTGCTGAAGTGTTTGTACAGTAGAGCTACGATGGCTATCCGAGTACAGAATCAGAGCACGAAACCCAAAAAAATATCCCCGAAACTCTTCACCGCTGCATTGGAAGACGTTTTCAAGCTTTTGGACTGGAAAGGATACGGTATCAACATCAATGGCGAGTACATCACTCACCTTCGATTTACCGACTATATAGTCCTTATGGCCGAATCGCTGGAGGCCCTAAGCACTATGCTCAATGACCTCAATAGTATCTCCCAACAGATAGGTCGTAAGATGAACATGGACAAAACAAAGATCATGTTTAACGTCCATGTCACACCTATGCCGGTAGTTGTTGGGAGCACTAAGCTCAAAGTTGTTGACGAGTATGTTTACGAGGGCGACACTGAAAATTTCGGGAATCAAGGACAACATTACTATTTAAAAATGTTTTTATTGCTTTTCGAAGTATTCTCCGCGAAATTTGACACATTTTTCCATACGATGGAACCAATCATTGAAGCAACCATTCCATTCGGAAGTTGGGGTCTCCAAAATGGCCGTTTTGTAGGTGTCCACAGCTTCTTCAGGTGATGAAAATCTCTGTCCACGCAATTTATTCTTTATTTTAGGGAAAGTATAGAAATCATTAGGGCTTAGGTCGGGGCTGTACGGCGGATGGTCTAATAATTCTATGTTTTCTTGCTCTAAAAACTCTTTTGTTCTGTGTGCGGTGTGAGAACTCGCATTGTCGTGATGGAGGATGATGCGGCGGTTGCAGTTCTCTTTAAGGAGTTCAGAAACGACCTGTGGCAAACAAATGCTAGCATTCCATTCTGCATTAACCGTTCTTTGTCCCTCAAGAGGAATAGTCGTAACATGGCCGGTTTTGGAGACAAACGTGGCCACCATTTTTTTGCAACACTCCGTGAACGAACAATTTTTGTTGGCTTTAACTCATTATCGAACACCCAAACTCGTGACTGGTTTTTTGTTTCGGATACGTACGCGTATATCCAGGATTCATCACCTGATACGATGTTGTATACAGCATTTGAGGATCCTGCGTGGAATCTTTCGAGAGTTCTGACGCACCAAGTAACACGAGCCGCTTTTTGCTCTTCACAGGGCGAATGCGGTATCCATCGGGAAAACAACTTTTTTACACCTAATTGTTCATGCAAGATTATTTGTATTTAACTCATGCCAATGTCTAAAGTTGCCTGAATTTCGCGGTATGTCACATGTCGATCTTCCTCAATCAGCTTACGCACAGCATCAACGTTTTCTTGGGTGACTGCAGTTTTTGGACGACCTTGACGGGGATCATCACTGAGCTTGACACGTCCACGTTGAAATTCAGCAAACCAGCGATAAATTGTGGTTTTGGATGGGGCTTCATTACCAAATGCAGAAACCATCCGGTCAACACACTGTTTTTGTGTTAAACCACTTCGAAAGTCATAATAAATCATCGCTCTTGGATTTTCTCGAGTCAATTCCGTTTTCTCAACGACTAAACAAGTTTGACAAAACCTTGTGACAAGACCGAGAATCTTTTTTTAAATAAATAACAGATATTCGATTTTTAAAACCAAGGAGTTTTCAATTAAAAAGATATTAATATGACAGGAACAGTGGAAATATTCCATTCCCGATACTTTTAGTGCAGCCTATGTACCTGGGATAAATAGTCCGACTAGGTAAGTGCAACTTCGACCGAGAGGTCAATCGACGGATTCAACTCGGCTGGGCAGCGTTCGCGAAACTACGACACATCTTCTCGTTAGACATACCTCAAAACCTTAAAACGAAATTGTACAACCAGTGCGTGTTGCCAGTGATGACTTACGGATCTGAGACGTGGTCCTTCACTGCTAGCCGTATGAGGAAGCTTAAGGTTGCTCAGCGAGCTATGGAGAGGGCTATGCTCGGGGTTTCTCTGCGTGATAAACTTAGAAATGAGGATATCCGCAGTAGAACCAGAGTAACCGACATAGCCCAACGGATTAGTAAGCTGAAGTGGCAGTGGGCCGGCCATATAGCTCGAAAAACCGACAACTGATGGGGAAGAAAGGTTCTTGAGTGGCAGCCTCGTACCGATAGGCGAAGTGTAGGGCGTCCCCCCACGAGATGGAGTGACGACCTGGTAAGACATTTTTTTTTTATAGGAGAGGGGGCAAACGAGCATGCGGCTCACCTGATGGTAAGTGACTACCGCCGCCCATGAACAACTGCAACACCAGGGGAATCGCAGATGCGTTGCCGGCCTTTTAAAAAGGAGTGCGCTCTTTTCTTGAAGGTCCCTAAGTCGCATCGGTCCGGAAAAATCGCTGATGGTAATCGATTCCACAAGGAGGTCGTGCGAGGAAGAAAACATCTTCTAAATCGCACAGTGGTGGACCGCCAATCATCCAGATGGTGTGGATGGTATCGGGAGTTCTGCCTCGATGTGCGTTCGTGAAATTTGGCGGCTGGGATTAATCCGAACAATTCCTCAGAGCACTCCCCATGGTAGATGCGAAAGAAAATGCAAAGGGATGCAACATCTCTTCGCAGTGCCAATGAATCGAGCCGATCGGAAAGGGCTCGGTCGTCGACAATTCGAGCCGCTCTGCGTTGGATGCGGTCAAGTGGAAGGAGCTGGCACTAGGGAGCCCCTGCCCAGAGATGGGAACAGTATTCCATGTGAGGCCGAACTTGCGCCTTGTAGAGTAGCAGGCGGTGTGCCGGCATGAAATACTGTCCCGCTCTGCTGAGCACGCCAAGCTTTTTAGAGGCCAATTTGGCCTTGTCTTCCAAGTGACCACGAAACTGCACGTCACTCGATATGTCGACTCCGAGGATACCGATACTGGCTGAGGCAAGAAGGGGAGTGCCTTGAAACTGAGGAGATACGACAAAGGGGTTCTTTTTAGCGGTAAACGCGCAAACTTGTGTCTTCTGAGGATTAAATTGGACTAGATTTAGTCGCCCCCAATCCGAGACTTTGTTCAGCAAAGACTCGACTTCAGACACAAGTTTGTTCCGGTACTCAGCGACGTTTTCCCGAGAAATATTGGCACGGCCGGTGTATAGAGCATCACCAGTGCTGTCATCCGCATAGCAATGAATGTTACCAGTTAGCAACATATCATTTATATGCAGAAGAAACAGCGTCTGTGATAGCACACAGCCTTGTGGAACACCAGCGTTAATAGGCTTGTAGTCAGAGCATGCACCGTCTACAACGACCTTGATGCTCCGATCTGCAAGGAAGCTGGTGATCCAATTGCACAATTTCTCGGGAAGCCCATAGGAAGGGAGCTTCGAAAGAAGCGCTTTGTGCCAAACCCGATCGAAGGCCTTCGCAATGTCCAGACTAACGGCCAACGCCTCCCCCTTGGACTCTACTGCCTCCGCCCATCTATGGGTCAGGTAGACCAAAAGATCACCAGCTGATCGACCCCGACGAAAACCGTATTGGCGGTCACTAATCAGCTGGTGATCCTCAAGGTACCGGATGAGCTGGCAGTTAATAATGGATTCCATTATTTTGGAGAACAAGGAGGTGATCGCGATAGGCCTATAGTTGGATGGATCTGAGCGGTCGCCTTTTTTAGGGATCGGGTGGACAAAAGCTGTCTTCCATGAATTCGGGACTACGCCTTGGGAGTAGGAGTACCGGAAAAGACGCGTTAGGACCGGTGCCAACTCCGGAGCACACGTCCTCAGCACAATTGGGGGGATTCCGTCAGGCCCACTCGACTTCTGGATGTCCAGGGAGAGCAGTGCTTTGCGAACCGAGCGCTGTGAGAACAGCACATCCGGCATGGAGCACTCACACCGCGGGATGGTCGGCGGTGTTTTCTCCCCGTCATCAAGAGTCGAGTTGGACGCAAAAAGGGAGCCTAAAAGGTCGGCTTTGTCTTTTGCGTCATGGGCCAGTGAGTCATCCTCCCTGTGCAGAGATGGTAGTGATGGCTTACAGAAATTCCCTTGAACAGCCTTGGCGAGAGACCAGAATGCACGGGTTCCCGAAGGAAGGCGAACTAGTTTCTCGCCAATTCTGCCTATGTGCTCTGACTTTCCCTTTGCAATAACTCTTTTGAAGGACCTGGAGGCGAAGTTATACTTCTTTTTAAGTGTGCTGGTATTTACATCCCGAGTCGCCGAAGCCGCAGCCCAGGCTTGATAACACTCCTGCTTACTGCGTAA